TGTAAATGACTGAGATTGATTATAGCATGCATACATTGGGTTTATATAGGAATACAAAGGAATGCAAAACGACCTAGACTAGCCATGTACTCTAAGGGGTACATTCCCTTATTGTAGCGAAATTCAAAAGACTCTGCGGCGCGGGAATCGGTTACAAAACCTGTTCCCGCTCTTTTCATTTCAAATGCTTCTTCCCGCATCGCCCTTGTTCAGACGGTTGCTGTGTCGCTTCGATTCTTCTGACTCCTCGACTTCGTACTCGGTAGAGTCGGCTCCTGCAGCATACAGGAATGCCTTCTCATAAAACTTCGTATCGTAACACTTTGGGTACATAAACCTAACCCTAAGTGTACCCCATATGACATACATCACTAAAGGCTACAACATTTGACACACCCCCATAGCCTAGGTGAGGGGTGTCTAGCAAAACCAACAGAATACAGTCACAAGACCAGTCACAAAGAAACAAAGCTCAGGGTGGATCACAATGTCACCACACAGTCTGAGCACAAGCAAAAAGGGGCCACAAGGCCAGTCCAAGAGTTCACAGAAGCAGATATAAAGTGTACAAGCAAAGCAACTAGATAACTCAAGTCTACACTGTTGGGCTGAGAAAAGCCGTTAGGATCGTTTTCAAGACTAAGACTTAGGATAATGTTGTGATTGCGAAAGCGTTCTAGTCAGGGCTGACGCTATCAGACAAAATACTCTGATTAGTCTGACGAATCAGACTGTCTAGGCACTGGAATTTTTTTCCAGAGTAGTTGTTTTCTTATCCCTGAGTGACTCATACGTATTGTTTTAGGGCCCCTGATTACTTGTAATGTGCTTCAGACTTAACTGGTTACGAAGCCTGACGTAAAAGAGTATTGTTTCTATGGTCCCTATATTCAACCTTATCGGAACAAGGCTTCCTGGAAATTTCCTTTCGATACACCCGCTTAGTGCGATACGAGGCCAGGAGCACAGAAGCCGAGCTCAATGCACCGGCTTTCACATAAGAACACACTAGCTGTTCATTTGTTTCACACAAGTTGAATCGGCATGTTTTTTAAAGCGAAACAATGTTAGAAAGATTTTTTTTTTTTTCGAATCGCACAGAGAGTTAGTGCATGTTTAGTGTCGCACTTTGGGTTCCCTGCAATCGTGCGTCTTTTCCTGCGGCAAAACGGGTGAAAATCTATAATGGAACCCGTGAATGGGGATTATATTGCTGCACGAATAGTGTACTATTACTGCTGCCAGAAAATCGCGCGTAGCATTTCCTGCCTGCTGCCAGCTCAGCTCCCTGTCAGCCCGCCCATCCAGCAAAAATCCTCCAAGTTGCGCAACCTTGCATTTTGCCCGAAATAGATGTGGATGCCCACGGGGAAGGGCGCGGCTCGGGCGCTCGACCTACCTCGACCCAAACCCCCAAAATACCCGAGGCGAAATCAAAAACTACGACCCAGCTGGACCTGGTGCTTGGCCGTTTTATCTATTTCCAGATAGATAATTGGCGAAAGGTAACCAGTTCGCCAATTTTTTCGCCAGCGTGAACAGTTGACGGAGACGCCGGTTACCGTATCGTTAAGCGTGAACACAGGCGACTAACAGTTAGATCGCAAGCGCCTGACGACAGCCGCGCGATACACTGTAGTGTATTTGATTGTCGAAATTCTGTCAGTCTGCTAATTGTTTCAAATTTTTTCTTCTCAATGCAATGTGTATTACTGAATTATGTGAATGATGGGGTGGTTTTAAGGGGGGTTTTTTATGATTGAAATGGATAAAGCATGTCTTAAGGTATCTATTCAATGCAGTCTCAGTGTTTTTTTTGCAGGGATGGCCATACAAATGGCTGAAATGTGGAGCTCAAAATGGTCATATTTTGGGGGTTTCATGGACATATGCTTGGTTTTTCATGTTTTTTTTTTTGGAATCTGTCTCCCCTAGTACTGCTCTACTTGTTTTAATCTTTTTTGAAAGTTTGCAACAGTTTGTACTTTTTGGTTCATGCTAGCCAACTCAAGTATTTCAGTAGTACATGCTAGGTCATTCTTTGGCAAACACCAAGTCAACATTGCTTTTTTGTATTTGTTATTTCATAACATTCAATGTATTGTTAGGCTTGGAATGCCCTGCCCATCACACATGCCACGTCAAACCAACAATGAGATGAGAGAAAATGGGGAAAACGTTTGATGATCTGCTTGGGTGTTCTCAACATCTATTTGCTGTGTTCTCTTATGATGGCGTAGATGTTTACCTCCCCCAATACACTTTAACATAGTGTCCTAGTGCTTTCATCATTTTGAACCTTTGGGTTTTGGTTAAAAAGATGATTTACACGGCTATTACAATTAGGGGGGGTTTGTGAAAGCTAACATCTATATTTGCTTGTGTTTTTCAATGCGTTGTTGAGTTGAAATTATGTGCCTTACACATGGATTGCCTCCTTGCATTGTCCTTTGTGGTGTGGGTTTTCGGGAACTTGTATGTGTTTAGATAGGCCTGCTTGCAATCTGGCTTGATTAAAGTTTACACATTATTGTCCAAGGTGTAGATTGTAGTAGCGCATAAAAAGGGGTGGTGATTTTCGAGACTGGATCTGACATACGCGTGACTTCCCCGAGATGGAACTGCTTTTTCGGCGCATACGAGGTACATTTTCGACGAGGCACATGCACCGAACTTAGTAGCCCAATTTCGAGTTGTATAATAGCGATTAAGCGATGGAATTTGGGCAATTTTCGAATTCGACCATCCTTGGATGCACTCGAACTCGAAATCACTGACATCCACGTGGCGGCTCAAAGGATAACTCTCGAAATTTGCGTGGGGAGGATGGTTATTGGTCGAAATCTGTCGCTGACGCATTTTCAGAGTGCAGTACAACTTGAGATTGTGCCCATACGAGGGGCTTTTAGATCGCGGGTCAGTACGGGTTGCATGGCTAAGGGTGGCACTGCCATTGTTAAATGCAACCTTTTTGTCGCCACAACCATGTAGGGTCAAATGTTTGAACACGACCTTAAAGTTCAGGCTCAGGTCGGAGGGGGGCGGGTATAAATGTCCAACGGAGGTCATTTTTTCATTTTACATCTTCTCTTTCAGTTTTTGTCCAGCTTCTTCCTTAGATCCCAGCCTCCCTGTTTCCTCCACTTCGTCAATGGAGCCTTCGATGGAAGTAGAGGCTGCTGGCTTGCGTGTGCGCCTCTCTCGTTTAGAGTTCGAGAACATGCGACACAAGCGTGGGGAATGGACCGAGAATATGCTCAACTTTGTTATGGTGTAAGATGCCCTCGTAGTATTGATTCTCGGCTAGAGATGTCACGTTTCGAGATTTACAGGCTCTCTGTCACGTGTAGAGTACAAGTAGCGATCGAGCGAAAAACGCTATAGGCGCTCCAACGTCTTAACCATATTCCGAGAAGTAGTTTCCTCTATTCTACTGCTCAACAGAGGCGATCGGTTATCGAAAGGCGCTTAGATCTCTATTTCGAGAAATATTTCCGCGAATACGGATGTGTTGTGGTGCGCTGCTCTGATCTCTGAAAGCTCCGTGTGTTGTCTCTTGCAGGAAGATTGCAAAGGAGAGGCTGACCGCGGAGCAGCTTTCGAAAATGGAAATCATCCCCATGAGTACAGTAAATGCGGCCAGGGCGAAACAACCTTTCGAACCCATGGGTCCTGGCAGACTCGATGGTGTGCTTGGCAAGCAACTCGTAGTCTTTCCGCTGTGGTCAAGGTAAGCTCGAATTTCATAGGTTACGGTGTCAATATTTATTGCTCTGAACATACAGCGGCTGTTCGAGCTTTTACGCGCTGGCTAACCTTTCACCCCACCACCCCATGCAGCATGAGTGCCGAACCTGGAGCGCGCTGTAGCCTTTTCATGCTTGTTCGGCCCGACAGTCTGGCCGACCACCCGAATGTTCCGGTTGCGACGCGTCTTCTGCATTTCGACCCCAAATCGAATTCTCAACCACACAAGCACGGCGACCTCGCCTACAAGTTGTCAAGTAAGATTTAGCTACTGTCGCTCGTCACATGTGCTTGATGACGGTACGGCAGATCAGAGCCTAATTTTGTCGAAACCCCACATGTTGAGCAGATGGCTGGAGGTGCAGCTCTTGACGGAGTATTCTAGAGGAGAAGCAATCAATGGAGACTCGGAGGTGCAGGAAACATTCCGCGACATCAGGAGACGGATTACGAGCGGGTGGAGGCTCGACAGTGCGTCAGTAAGTTTTCGGTGCAAACTCATTTTGTACATTGGAACTCTAAACAGGACAAGAGCTAACCTGCTCCATTTCCCTTTCATGCAGAAGCTAACTCCAATGGTCTCCTCGAGGGAGGTCGGAAGCGGTTCTCATGTAGCGTACCAGTGGCGTAAGGTGCTCGATCAGTTTGACTCGATTCTCTTGCAGCATGATCGAGACGAGAAATTTAGGGTTCTCGGAAAACCACCCTACCGGCGAGAGGATATATTCAAGGACATAGTGACCAGCTGCGAAAAGTATTTTAAGCGACTGGAGGCTGGTGATGAGGAGAGTGCGGGAGAGTTGCACAACCTGGGGCACGTCGGGGACGCTGCTGAGGACACGGGTGCCCCGCCCTTTATTGATGCGGAAATAGTCGCGTTGGGGGCCATGGTTGCCGACAGCGCACGAATGGGTCTGGCCAACGAGCGTCAGAGCGTAACGGATGAGCGTCAGATGATGGATAGAGAGGAGGAACCGTTTCAGAGGAGTGCGCGCGAGATCTTGCGTGGAATGAGGGAGGCGCAGCAGAGGGAACCAGAGGATAAGGCCGAGCGTTGCGGATCGGATGCCCTACAACAGAGGGGGGAGGGGGAGGATGGAGGAGTTAGTAATGGGTATTGAGGCAGTGCACCTCTCGGTCGAGAATGATGAACTAGAGCAGGGGCAGGGTACGGACATGAGGCAGGGGAGTCCGAATGTCGTAGGCGAATCGGAGGAGGTGCAGAGAGAGGAACGTGAGAATAGGGTGGTGTATTAGAGGCGGGAGGCAAGAAAAAGAAGAAGTATGATCAGGGCGGGAAGCACGCGAGGGGGAAGAGGCGAATCAGAGGGTGGAACAGAAGCGGATGAGACTCGAGGACCAGGAGCGAGAGGTGAGTTCGATGGAGGGGGACAGGGAGAGGGAGGAAGAAAATGTGAGGGAGAAAGAGAGGAAGGTCGAGCGCGAAAAGGAGGACTTGAGGCAAAGGGAAGAAGACGAGAGGAAGAGCGAGGAGGCGAGGAAGATGGAGCGCGAAAAGGAGGAAAAGCGGCAGAAGGAGGAGGAAGATCGGAAGAGGGAGGAGAAAAAGGCTGAGCGCAAACAGGAGGAAAAGCGGCAGAGGGTGGAGGAAGAGCGGAAGAGGGAGGAGGAGAAAAAGGCTGAGCGCGAACAGGAGGAAAAGCGGCAGAGGGAGCTGGAAGAGCGGAAGAGGGAGGAGGAAAAGGCTGAGCGCGAACGGGAGGAGGTGGAAAAGAGGGAGGAGAAAAAGGCTGGCGCGAGAGGAAAAGAGAGGGGGAGGGAAGAGCGGAAGAGGGAGGAGGAAAAAGGCTGAGCGCGAACATGAGGAAAAGCGGCAGAGGGAGAGGAGGAAGAGCGGAAGAGGGAGGAGGAGAAAAGGGTGAGCGCGAACAGGAGGAAAAGCGGTAGAGGGAGGTGGAAGAGCGGAAGAGGGAGGAGGAGAAAAAGGCTGAGCGCGAACGGGAGGAAACGCGGCAGAGGGAGGTGGAAGAGCGGAAGAGGGAGAGGAGAAAAAGGCTGAGCGCGAACGGGAGGAAACGCGGCAGAGGGAGGTGGAAGAGCGGAAGAGGGAGGAGAAAAAGGCTGAGCGCGAACAGGAGGAAAAGCGGCAGAGGGAGGAGGAAGAGCGGAAGAGGGAGGAGGAGAAAAGGGCTGAGCGCGAACTGGAGGAAAAGCGGCAGAGGGAGGTGGAAGAGCGGAAGAGGGAGGAGGAGAAAAGGCTGAGCGCGAACGGGAGGAAAAGCGGCAGAGGGAGGTGGAAGAGCGGAAGAGGGGGAGGAGAGAAGGCTGAGCGCGAAAAGGAGGAAAAGCGGCAGAAGGAGGAGGAAGAGCGGAAGAGGGAGGAGAAAAAGGCTGAGCGCAAACAGGAGGAAAAGCAGCAGAGGGGGAGGAAGAGCGGAAGAGGGAGGAGGAGAAAAAGGCTGAGCGCGAACAGGAGGAAAGCGGCAGAGGGAGCTGGAAGAGCGGAAGAGGGAGGAGGAAAAGGCTGAGCGCGAAGGGAGGAAAAGCGGCAGAGGGAGGTGGAAGAGCGGAAAGGGAGGAGAAAAGGCTGAGCGCGAACGAGGAAAAGCGGCAGAGGGAGGAGGAAGAGCGGAAGAGGGAGGAGGAAAAAGGGTGAGCGCGAACAGAGGAAAAGCGGTAGAGGAGGTGGAAGAGCGGATGAGGGAGGAGGAGAAAAAGGCTGAGCGCGAACGGGGAAACGCGGCAGAGGGAGGTGGAAGAGCGGAAGAGGGAGGAGGAGAAAAAGGCTGAGCGCGAACGGGAGGAAACGCGGCAGAGGGAGGTGGAAGAGCGGAAGAGGGAGGAGAAAAAGGCTGAGCGCGAACGGAGGAAAAGCGGCAGAGGGAGGAGGAAGAGCGGAAGAGGGAGGAGAAAAAGGCTGAGCGCGAACTGGAGGAAAAGCGGCAGAGGAGGTGGAAGAGCGGAAGAGGGAGGAGGAGAAAAGGCTGAGCGCGAACGGAGGAAAAGCGGCAGAGGGAGGTGGAAGAGCGAAGAGGGAGGAGAGAAGGCTGAGCGCGAACGGGAGGAAAAGCGGCAGGGGAGGTGGAAAGAGCGGAAAGCGGAGGAGGATGAGCGCGAAAAGGAGGAGAACGGCAGGAGGATGAGCGGAAGAGGGAGGAAGAGACTAAGCTGGAGCGTGAAAGGAGGAGAAACGGCAGAGGGAGGATGAAGAACGGAAGAGGGAGGAGAAGGCAGAGCGCGGACAGGAGGAGAAGCGGCAGAGGGAGGAGGAAGAGCGGAAGAGGGAGGAGAAGGCTGAGCGCGAAGAGGAGAAACGGCAGAGGGAGGATGAGCGGAAGAGGGAGGATGAGCGGAAGAGGGAGGAAGCGACGAAGATGGAGCGCGAAAAGGAGGAGAAGCGGCAGAGGGAGGATGAAGAACGGAAGAGGGAAGACAAGGCAGAGCGCGAACAGGAGGAGAAGCGGCAGAGGAAGGAGGAAGAGCGGAACAAGGAGGAGAAGGCTATGCGCGAAAAGGAGGAGAAACGGCAGGGGAGAGGAGGAAGAGCAGAACAGGGAGAAGGCTGAGCGCGAAAAGGATGAGAAACGGCAGGAGGATGAGCGGATGAGGGAGGATGAGCGGAAGAGGGAGGAAGCGACGAAGGTGGAGCGCGAAAACGAGGAGAAGCGGCAGAAGGAGGATGAAGAGCGGAAGAGGGAGGAGAAGGCTGAGCGCGAACAGGAGGGAAGCGGCAGAGGGAGGAGGAGAGCAGAATAGGGAGAAGGCTGAGCGCGAAAAGGATGAGAAACGGCAGGAGGATGAGCGGAAGAGGGAGGAAGCGACGAAGATGGAGCGCGAAAAGGAGATGAAGCGGCAGAGGGAGGATGAAGAACGGAAGAGGAGAAAAGACGGAGGAAAGACGGAGAGCGCGAACAGGAGGAGAAGCGGCAGAGGGAGGAGGAAGAGCGGAACAGGGAGAAGGCTGAGCGCGAAAAGGAGAGAAACGCAGGAGGACGAGCGGAAGAGGGAGATGAGCGGAAGAGGGAGGAAGCGACGAAGGTGGAGCGAAAAGAGAGAAGCGGCAGAGGGAGGATGAAGAGCGGAAGAGGGAAAAGGCAGAGCGCGAACAGGAGGAGAAGCGGCAGAGGGAGGAGGAAGAGCGGAAGAGGGAGGAGAAGGCTGAGCGCGAAAAGGAGAGAAAACGCAGGAGGATGAGCGGAAGAGGGAGGATGAGCGAAGAGGGAGGAAGCGACGAAGATGGAGCGCGAAAAGAGAGAAGCGGCAGAGGAGGATGAAGAACGGAAGAGGGAAAAGGCAGAGCGCGAACAGGAGAAGCGGCAGAGGGAGGAGGAAGAGCGGAACTGGAGGAGAAGGCTGAGCGCGAAAGGAGGAGAAAACGGCAGAGGGAGGACGGAAGAGCGGAAGAGGAGGAGGAAAGAAAGGTGAGCGCGAAAAGGAGAAGCGTCGAAGGGAGGAGGCGCAGAAGAGGGAGGAGAAGCAGAAGAAAAAAACAGAGCGCAACAGGAGGACAAGAGGCAGAGGAGGAAGAGCGGAAGAGGGAGGGAGAGAAAAAGGAAAGCGCGAAGGGAGGAGGAAAAGGGAGGAGAGAGGACGAACGGGAGCGGAAGAGGCGGAGGGAAGGAGAGAAACGCGCGAAAAGGAGGCGAGGGTGGAGGATCGAGAGCGCAGAGGCTGGTGGTCGAGGCCGAGGAGCGAGAAGCGCGCGAAAGGGAGGAACCGCGGCAGAGGCAGGAACGGGAACGGAAGAGAATCGAAAGCGAACGCAGAAGGAAGAGCTTCAAAGGCTTGAGCGCGAGAGGCAACTGGCCAAACAGACGGAGGAAGCCGGTGAGCATCAGGGTGTGGAGCGTCAGAGGGATCGACGTATAGAGAATGAGCGGCGTGGGATAGGGGGCACTACACAGAGGCACGAAAGGCAGAGAGAGGTTGCTGGGTTGGATGAACAAGGTGGCTGGGGCAGCGGCGTGGGGATGGAACTCGTCACACGATCGATGGCCATAGGGGCGCGAGGGTCTTTCAAGCGCAGTTGGGGCCGGATGCAGGGGAAGGAGCTCGGCAAGTGGTGGTTGGCGACCACCCAACCGAGGGGCATCAGGGGACGACTGTTGGTCGGGCAGCGGATGTTGGTTTACCGGGATTGAGAACTGGCGGAACAAGACAGGTAATACAACGGGAAGGTGGCCGGCGTGATGATCAAGCAGCTCGAAACAGGGTGGGCGAGGGAGACCGTAGGAGGGTCGAGCAGTTAAGGCAAGCTGGTAGGCGAGAGGGTGAAGCACGTGGAACGCGGCAGGGTGAGAGAATGGCGGAGGATCAGGTCTGGCGTGGGGTGGGATGGGGAATGGAGGGAGTGCGACACAGGGAGAATCAGCAGAGACATCCGGGAGGACGGGTGGACGAGGAAATAGAGAGTGCGGCGAGTGCGCTCCCTATGCAGAGGCATCATCCACGAGCGGCGAAGAATCCTACTGCGGTGCATGCAGAGGAACTAGAGGATGGTGAATGGGTGGCTGTGGAGACAGAACTGGCGGGACTGGAGAATGCGGGGCCCCAGGTTTTCGAGGAGACGGAGCGAGGGTTTGAGGAGGCTGGCGACCGCATCGCAGCTGGCGGCAGGGTGCGTACCACAGCAGAGCTAATGCGGCGTTTGACGTTGGTGGCAAGGTCCGTGGCCAGGACTTCGTCGAAGCAACGTGTTCGTTTCAGCGACTGCATGGCAGAGATTCGCGAGTTTGGGTTGTAGATGCAGGGTTGGGACATGCGCTACATGCAGGACTACGATGATCTAACTCACGAGTACCACGAGCTCAAGCTGAGGTGGTCCGGGAACGCAACGAGCTAAACCAATTGCCTACTGCTGCTTCGACGTTGTCGCCGAGGCACGAGCGGCAGCAGCTGATGCGGGTCGCGCAGCTGCAGCAGCGGCTGTGGGAGCATTGCAGGAAAAGTTAGAGGGTTTTTCGAGAACTTAGGGGTGTAGCTGAAGAGTGTGGTTAGAGCAGGTGATAGAGCAATCGTCGCTGGAGGCCCGACACGATCACATCCAGCTCCATGGAACACCTGCAAGCAGCTATTGACAACAGTGTATACACAGTGTGGGAGGATCTCAGAACTGCCGACGACCAGAACAATCTGACTTTCACCAAGATTTTTAAGGCGCTGGCTGGACTGTCAACAAATCTCAAAGGGGCTGACTGGACCCATCAAGGTCCGAAAACCACCCACCGCCGGAGCAGAGGCCACACCAAGGCCTTCGCGAACGCAGCCCGAAGCAGATTCCCCGGACATCCCAATCTCCGCAGCACAACGAGTCATGGAAAGGTTTGCCACGACGTCCGAGGGTGAGGCGGGGGTGACGCTGGTGAGGCGGGTGAGACGGGCGCTGGTGTGGCAGATATTGACTTGTCTGAACCAGTGAGGAGAAACTGGAGAGAGACGTACGCAGCAAAGAAAGTGCAGAAAGAGAAGGAGAAGGAGAGCGTGGAGAGGAGGACGGCTGAAGCGCGGAAGCGGCAAGCACTTCAGACGGCGCAAGCGGCGGCTGCAAAGAAGAGGCGGGCTGAGAGCGGGTTGGGAAATACGAGGGTGGAGGACCGGCCTGGGACTTTTAGCAGCGGGAGAGTGACGGAAAACCAACCGGCGGGTACAGCCGCCGAGGCAAGGATGGTGGAACGCGAAAAGGAGGATAAGCGGCGAAGAGAGGAGCAAAAAAGGGAGGAGGCGAGGAAGGTGGAACGCGAAAAGGAGGAGAAGCGGCAGAAGGAGGAGGAGGAGCGGAAGAGGGAGGAGGCGAGGAAGACAGAATGCGAAAAGGAGGAGAATCGGCAGAAGGAGGAGGCGAGGAAGGCGGTGTCAAACATTATACATGTTGTATTTGTGTAGGCTGTAGTGGGTTAGCCTACAGGGGGGTCACAACATTAGGGTTTCATATTTGTACTCACAATCCTTGCTAGTCCATCATCCCAGTCCGTTCATTCTGACATGGTTTCAGAGCAGGTCCATCGCTAGGACCGTTCTTAGGGCCCACCGCTACCTACCTACCTACCTACCTACCGTGCGCCTCGTGCGCCCTCGCGCCCTCGTGCGCCTCTTACTACCGCGCGCCCTCGTGCGCCCTCGCGCCCTCGTGCGCCTCTTACTACCGTGCGCCCTCGTGCGCCTTCGCGCCCTCGTGCGCCAATCCCTACCGCGCGCCTTCGTGCGCCCTCGCGCCCTCGTGCGCCCTCGCGCCCTCGTGCGCCCTCGCGCCCTCGTGCGCCTCTCCCTACCGCGCGCGCACGGCCTGCTAGCCACCCACGCGCGGCCAGCTTTCTTTTTAGCGCGCGCGACCCGCTAGCCGCCCGCGCGCGGCCCGTGTTCTCACGCGTGCGACCCGCTAGCTGCCCCCGCGCGCGCCCCGCCCGTCTGTCGCGACGCCCTGGGGAGCCCGCGAGCGCCCCCCCGTCGTCGCGACGCCCTAAGGAGCCCGCGGACCCCCCGCCCGTCCGTCGCGACGCACTGGGGAGCCCGCGAACGCCCCGCCCGACCGTCGCGACGCCCTCAGGAGCCCGCGGACCCCCCGCCCGTCCGTCGCGACGCACTGGGGAGCCCGCGAGTGCCCCGCCCGGTCGTCGCGGCGCCCTCGGGGGTCGCGCGCGCGTCCCCCCTCGCCCACCCGACCGTTCTGGCGCCTTGGGGGTCGCGCGCCTCCCCCCTCGCCATCCCCCGCACTCCTCCCCCTTACCCCACCCGTTTTAGGGTTTTTGGGGCGCTGCTGCAGCTGCCGCCGCTGCGATTGCCTCAACTGCCGCCGCCGACCCTGCATCAGCTGCCGTCACCGCCTCTGCAGCAGCTGCCGCCGCCGAGCCTGCAGCAGCTGCCGCCGGACCTGCAGCAGCGGCCCCCACCCAGCCTGCAGCAGTGGCCGCCTCTGGACCTGCAGCAGCTGCAGCCGCCGAGCCTGCAGCAGCAGCCGCCGCTCGACCTGCAGCAGCTGCCGCCGCCGAGCCTCCAGCAGCAGCCGCCGCCGACTCTGCGGCAGCAGCCGCCGCTGAGATTCCAGCAGCTGCCGCCACCGACCCTGCAGCAGCTGCCGTGGAGATCCCTGCTGCGACCTGGCCCTGCCCCGCAGTTGCTGCGGCCCCGCTGTCCCCACCGTCTTGTGCCCTCCGCGCCTACCACTGGTGAGCTTTGCCCTGCCAGCACTACTCCCGCTACTACTGCTACTACTGCCTTTGCTCCTCCCACTGTCACTGCTCCTGCTGCCACTACTGCTGCTGCTCATGCTGTGGCCAGATGGAGCTCCAGCAGGCTCGTGAGTGGTACGCCAGTTTAGGCAGTCGGGGTGGCCGTAGTGGTAGTCGCTCTGGAGTGCGTCGTTCGGGAGCCTCTGGTAGTAGACCGGTGCAGCAGCCGTGCCCTCTTCTGCTCCAGCAGGCTCGTGAGTGGTACGCCGGCTTGGGCAGTCGGGGTGGCCGGCGTGGTAGTCGCTCTGGCGTGCGTCGTTCGGGAGCCCCTGGTAGTGGACAGGTGCAGCAGCCGTGCCCTCTTCTGGTCCAGCAGGCTCGTGAGTGGTACGCCGGTTTGAGCAGTCGGGGTGACCGTAGTGGTAGTCGCTCTGGCGTCCGTCGTTCGGGAGGCTCCGGTAGTGGACAGGTGCAGCAGCCGTGCCCTCTTCTGCTCCAGCAGGCTCGTGAGTGGTACGCCGGTTTGAGCAGTCGGGGTGGCCGTAGTGGTAGTCGCTCTGTGAGTGAGGCAGCCGCTCTCGGTGCCAGTACGTCTGTTGCCCTCGGTGCAGGTGAGGCTACCACTCCCGGTACTCGCGTGTCTGCTACCCCAGGTGATGGTGAGGCTGCTGCCCTAGGTGCTAGTGCGTCTGTGCCCCCTGGTACTGAGTCGACTGCAGCACTGCACACCTTCACCCTAGACTCAGGTGCTTCTCGCTCTTTCTTTCGTGACCGCACTGTCCTTGAGCCACTCGCTCGGCCAGTTGCTGTCTCCCTTGCTGACCCCTCTGGGGGTCCGGTCATTGCGACCTCCTCCACTGTCCTTCCTTGTCCTGCGGTCCCGTCCGGCACGCTGTCAGGTCTCTACCTCCCCTCGTTCTCTACGAACTTGGTGGCGGGTTGTGCGCTCCAGGACTCGGGTGTTCACCAGTTCACCCCTGCCTACGAGCGCGTGACACACTGCACGTGTGCTCGGACGGGTCGCCACCTGGCTACTTTCACTCGAGAGCCGGGGTCGGACCTGTACACACTGACCACTGAGTCCCCTCAGGTAGCTGCGTCTGCGTCTACGTCTGCGTCTGCGTCAGGTCAGCTGTCCGCCCCCTGCTCGTGTCGCTCTCTGGCGCATGAGACTGTCCTTTGGCACCACCGCCTTGGTCACCCGTCTGTGCAGCGCCTTCGGGCCATGCACAAACGGGACCTTGTTGCTGGTCTTCCCAGGGTGCTCCCTCCCCTTCCCGACTCGCCTGCTCCTCCCTGTCTTCCCTGTGTCGAGGGGCGGCAGCGCGCCACTCCTCACTCCTCCTCCTTTCCCCCGACGACTGCTCCTTTGCAGACGCTCCACATGGACGTGTGGGGCCCAGCCCGCGTCCGTGGTCAGGGTCAGGAGAGGTACTTCCTGATTGTTGTTGACGACTTCTCGCGCTACACCACGGTCTTCCCCTTGCGCACCAAGGGTGACGTCCCTGATGTCTTGATCCCTTGGATCCGCAGATCTCGTCTCCAGCTTAGTGAGCGTTTCCGCTCCGACTTCCCTGTCCTGCGTCTGCACTCTGACAGAGGTGGAGAGTTTTCCTCTGGCCTCTTGGAGGCCTTCTGTCAGCAGGAGGGCATTGAGCAGTCGTTCACGCTTCCGGCCTCTCCACAGCAGAATGGGGTTGCTGAGCGCCGCATTGGCTTGGTCATGGAGGTCGCTCGTACCTCCTTGGTTCATGCGGCTGCCCCCCACTTTCTGTGGCCGTTTGCAGTCCGATACGCTGCGCATCAGCTCAACCTCTGGCCCCGTGTCTCCTTGCCCGAGACTTCTCCGACACTGCGTTGGACGGGAGAGGCTGGCGATGCGTCGCGTTTTCGGGTCTGGGGATCCCGAGCTTTTGTCCGCGACACGTCCGCGGACAAGCTCTCCCGTCGCGCTGTCCCCTGCGTCTTCCTTGGCTTTGTCCCGGACGCCCCTGGCTGGCAGTTCTACCACCCCACCTCGCGGCGTGTCCTGGCCTCTCAGGACGTCACTTTTGACGAGTCCGTCCCCTACTACCGCCTCTTCCCCTACCGCACTGCCCCGCTCCCCCCCCCACCTCTCTTCCTCGCTCCAGGTGCTGAGGTACCAGACCCCCTCCCCCCTCAGGGTGCCGCTCCCTCAGGTGTGTCCCAGGTAGACCCGGGTGAGCCTGTCGAGGTAGCTGTTGACTCTCGTCCTGCTGGGGGTGCTGAGCCTGGGGGTGCTGAGCCTGGAGGTGCTGAGTCTGGGGGTGCGGAGCCTGGAGGTGCGGAGCCTGGAGGTGCTGAGCCTGGGGGTGCTGAGTCTGGGGGTGCTGAGTCTGGGGGTGCTGAGCCTGAGCGTGCTACACCTGGAGGAGCCCTCTCCTCCCAGCAGCTGCAGGAGAGGTACCTCGAGTACTGCCGCCTCCGGAGAGGTGCTCCTGGAGCTCGTCCCGGTACTTCCCCTCCTACCCAGGAGCTCCCCCCCATTCAGCAGATCCGCGAGTGGTACACACGGCGCTGCAGTCTTCGGAGTGGTGCTCCTGGTGCTGCGGACCCTGGGGGTGGCGCTGCTGCTGGTGCTGAGGACCCGGACGTTGGAGCTGCTGCTGGTGCTGCGGACCCGCCTGGTGGAGCTGCTGCTGGTGCTGAGGACTCGGACGTTGGAGCTGCTACTGGAGCTGAGGACCCGGGCGGTGGCGCTGCTGCTGGTGCTGAGGACCCGGACGTTGGAGCTGCTACTGGTGCTGAGGACCCGGGCGGTGGAGCTGCTGCTGGTGCTGAGGACTCGGACGGTGGAGCTGCTGCTGGAGCTGAGGACCCGAGCGGTGGCGCTGCTGCTGCTGCTGAGGACCCGGGCGTTGGAGCTACTACTGGTGCTGAGGACCCGGCCGGTGGAGCTGCTGCTGGTGCTGTGGACCCGGACGCTGGAGCTCCTACTGGTACTGAGGACCCGGCCGCTGGAGTCTCTTCTGCTTCTGGAGACGCTGCGCGGCCGCGACCGTACTTCGTACCGCTCCTTCAGCAGGTTCTTGGGCAGGCTCCTCCTCCTTGTCCTCCTCCCTCCGTAGAGTGTCCTCCGCCTGTCCAGCCGCAGTCATAGTTACCGCCTACCTCGCCTCTCCCTGCTCCCTCTCCTTACACTGGTCCCACAGGAGGTCTTACAGAGCGTCGTGAGCCTGAGTCTCGTCCTGCGTCGCCTGTTCGTCCTGCTCGCACTGGTAGTCGTGTCCGTCGTGAGCGTCCTCCTCCTGTCCCAGGCACTCACTACATGACTCTGCGTCCCTCTACTGCTCCTCAGCGTGTCCCTCTACCGTCTCCTCCTGCGTCCTCTTTGCGTGACGTTCCGGACCCTGAGTCTGACCGGTATCGTGCTGAGCACCCTACTGTCACGCGTCTCCTCGCTACTGTTGTCACTGACCCTACCTTTGAGTCCTCGGCTGCGTCTGCTCTGGTCGCTGAGTTGGTTGACTTTGCTGCTGCCTGTCGTCTAGACTACGCTGCTAGCCTTGTTGCTGAGTCTGAGTCTGTCTGTCCTCCGTCCGTCGGGGGTGAGTGTGCTCTTGGCACGGACGTCCTTGAGGACAGACAGGAGGAGTTCCAGTGTCTTGCTGCTGCTTTGCCCCGTCTCGTGTCCTTGCTAGTTGCCCCTGAGGGAGACCCGGATGCACCAGACATCCCGACCCCGCGCACTTACGCTGAGGCGATGGCCGGTCCCTACTCCTCTCAGTGGCAGACAGCCATAGACGCAGAGATGGCTTCCTGGAAGTCCACACGCACCTACGTCGACGAGGTTCCCCCTCCTGGGGCGAACATCGTCAGTGGCATGTGGATTTTCAGGGTGAAGCGGCCGCCGGGTTCTCCGCTTGTCTTCAAGGCGCGTTACGTGGCTCGAGGCTTCAGTCAGCGAGAGGGAGTTGACTTCTTCCAGACCTTCTCCCCCACCCCGAAGATGACTACTCTTCGGGTGCTGCTGCACATAGCCGCTCACCGCGACTACGAGCTTCACTCACTTGACTTCAGCACTGCTTTCTTGCAGGGCAGCCTGCACGAGGAGATCTGGCTGCGCCGCCCACCTGGCTTCACTGGGTCGTTTCCTCCTGGTACCCAGTGGAGGCTTCAGCGGCCGGTCTACGGTCTCCGCCAGGCTCCGCATGAGTGGCACGACACACTGAGGACTACACTTGCGGCCCTTGGGTTCGCGCCTTCTACAGCTGACCCGTCGCTGTTCCTGCGCACCGACACTTCGCTGCCGCCGTTCTACATCCTCGTGTACGTCGACGACTTGGTCTTTGCCACTGCTGACACTGCAGGACTCGCCTACGTGAAGTCGGAGCTGCAGAGGAGACACACGTGCACAGACCTGGGTGAGCTGACAAGCTATCTTGGCTTGCGGATCACCCGGGACAGAGCACGGCACACCATCACCCTGACTCAGTCACACATGGTGCAGCAGGTTCTCCAGCGCTTCCGCTTCACGTACTCCTCGCCTCAGTCCACTCCTCTGCCTACCGGTCACTCGCTCTCAGCTCTGCCTTCGGATGAGTCCGTAGAGCCGAGTGGCCCGTATCCAGAGCTTGTGGGCTGCCTCATGTACCTGATGACCTGCACTCAACCTGACCTTGCATACCCTCTTAGCATCCTTGCACGCTATGTCGCTCCTGGCCGTCATAGGAAGGAGCACATGGATGCCGCTAAGAGGGTGTTGCGCTACTTGTGCAGTACGTCGGGCATGGGGCTTGTGCTTGGAGGGCGAGACCGAGTTGTTCTCACAGGGCACTCAGACGCTTCTTGGGCAGACGACCAGGCCACTCAGCGGTCGTCTCAGGGTTACACCTTCAGCCTTGGCTCTGGCTCAGTTTCTTGGCGCTCTACACGTTCTTCTTCTGTTCTCGGCTCCAGTTGCGAGGCTGAGATCTACGCTACAGCCATGGCTGCCCAGGAGCTACGCTGGCTGACCTACCTGCTGACCGACCTCGGAGAGCGGCCTCGTTCTCCTCCAGTACTGTACGTCGACAACAAGGCTGCCATTGCCTTGTGTGAGGAGCACAGACTGGAGCACAGAACGAAGCACATCGCCCTGCGGTACTTCCTTGCTCGAGAGCTGCAGCAGCGCGGTCAGCTTTGTATTCGCTACGTGGCCACTGAGGCCAACACTGCTGATGTGTTCACCAAGGCGCTTCAGCCTCGTGACCATCAGCGCTTCTGCACTCTACTAGGCCTTGTGCCTACTGGACCTCACTTGCTTACCTCTTGACTTTGCTTGTACTGTGATCACTATATATATCTATACCTGCATGTTTACTCTTGCTAGGTTGTGATCGCTGTATCTCTTGCTCTGTTATAAACCTGCATGTGAATTGGTCTTGTGACCACTAGCTTGCGCTCGGAATTTGTGTGGAATCCTTGAGATCCACCCTGAGCTTGTTGTTGCCTTGCTTTGCCTTGACTGGTCTTGTGACCCCTAGGTCTCCCCCACTTTGCCTATGGGGGTGTGTCAAACATTATACATGTTGTATTTGTGTAGGCTGTAGTGGGTTAGCCTACAGGGGGGTCACAACATTAGGGTTTCATATTTGTACTCACAATTCTTGCTAGTTCATCATTCCAGTCCGTTCATTCTGACAGGCGGAACGCGAAAAGGAGAAGCGGCAGAAGGAGGAGCGGAAAAAGGAGGAGGCGAGGAAGGCGGAACGCGAAAAGGAGGAGAAGCGGCAGAAGGAGGAGGAGGCGAGGAAGGCGGAACGCGAAAAGGAGGAGAAGCGGCAGAAGGAGGAGGAGGAGCGGAAAAAGGAGGAGGCGAGGAAGGCGGAACGCGAAAAGGAGGAGAAGTGGCAGGAGGAGGAGCGGAAGAGGGAGGAGGCGAGGAAGGCGGAACGCGAAAAGGAGGAGAAGCGGCAGAAGGAGGAGGAGGAGCGGAAGAGGGAGGAGGCGAGGAAGGCGGAACGCGAAAAGGAGGAGAAGCGGCAGAAGGAGGAGGAGGAGCGGAAGAGGGAGGAGGCGAGGAAGGCGGAACGCGAAAAGGAGGAGAAGCGGCAGAAGGAGGAGGAGGAGCGGAAGAGGGAGGAGGCGAGGAAGGCGGAACGCGAAAAGGAGGAGAAGCGGCAGAAGGAGGAGGAGGAGCGGAAGAGGGAGGAGGCGAGGAAGGCGGAACGCGAAAAGGAGGAGAAGCGGCAGAAGGAGGAGGAGGAGCGGAAGAGGGAGGAGGCGAGGAAGGCGGAACGCGAAAAGGAGGAGAAGCGGCAGAAGGAGGAGGAGGAGCGGAAGAGGGAGGAGGCGAGGAAGGCGGAACGCGAAAAGGAGGAGAAGCGGCAGAAGGAGGAGGAGGAGCGGAAGAGGGAGGAGGCGAGGAAGGCGGAACGCGAAAAGGAGGAGAAGCGGCAGAAGGAGGAGGAGGAGCGGAAGAGGGAGGAGGCGAGGAAGGCGGAACGCGAAAAGGAGGAGAAGCGGCAGAAGGAGGAGGAGGAGCGGAAGAGGGAGGAGGCGAGGAAGGCGGAACGCGAAAAGGAGGAGAAGCGGCAGAAGGAGGAGGAGGAGCGGAAGAGGGAGGAGGCGAGGAAGGCGGAACGCGAAAAGGAGGAGAAGCGGCAGAAGGAGGAGGAGGAGCGGAAGAGGGAGGAGGCGAGGAAGGCGGAACGCGAAAAGGAGGAGAAGCGGCAGAAGGAGGAGGAGGAGCGGAAGAGGGAGGAGGCGAGGAAGGCGGAACGCGAAAAGGAGGAGAAGCGGCAGAAGGAGGAGGAGGAGCGGAAGAGGGAGGAGGCGAGGAAGGCGGAACGCGAAAAGGAGGAGAAGCGGCAGAAGGAGGAGGAGGAGCGGAAGAGGGAGGAGGCGAGGAAGGCGGAACGCGAAAAGGAGGAGAAGCGGCAGAAGGAGGAGGAGGAGCGGAAGAGGGAGGAGGCGAGGAAGGCGGAACGCGAAAAGGAGGAGAAGCGGCAAGAGGAAGAAGAGGAGCGGAAGAGAGAGGAGTCGAGGAAGGCGGAACGCGAAAGTGAGGAGAAGCGGCAGAAGGAGGACGAGGAGCGGAAGAGGGAGGAGGCGAGGAAGGCGGAACGCGAAAAGGAGGAGAAGAGGCAGGAGGACGAGGAGCGGAAGAGGGAGGAGGCGAGGAAGGCGGAACGCGAAAAGGAGGAGAAGCGGCAGAAGGAGGAGGAGGAGCGGAAGAGGGAGGAGGCGAGGAAGGCGGAACGCGAAAAGGAGGAGAAGCGGCAGAAGGAGGAGGAGGAGCGGAAGAGGGAGGAGGCGAGGAAGGCGGAACGCGAAAAGGAGGAGAAGCGGCAGAAGGAGGAGGAGCGGAAGAGGGAGGAGGCGAGGAAGGCGGAACGCGAAAAGGAGGAGAAGCGGCAGAAGGAGGAGGAGCGGAAGAGGGAGGAGGCGAGGAAGGCGGAACGCGAGGAGAGGAGGCGGAGGGGAGCGGAACGCGAGGAGGAGGAAGCGGCAGGAGGAGGCGAGGAAGCGATGGAAAGGAGGCGGGCACAAAGGGAGGCGGAGTTAGAAGCTAAGCGTCAGCAGATTGCAAAGATCGCTGAAACAATGCGGTTGGAGGCAGCAAAGCGTAAAAGAGACCTCGAAATAGAGCGTCGGAAAGCCATGGAGGAGATCGAGCGTATTGCACGGTTGGAGGAAGCCGCAAAGGAGGAAGAGGAGAGGCAACAAATGGAGTTAGAGGCAGAAACAGAGAAAATGGAAAACGAGAGGCGACGGATTGCGGGTGAGGATGAGGAAGGGGCAGCGGAGCAACGGCACGGAGGATGTCACAGGATCGAATTTCCACTCGAGAATGTTGCACTATAGGTGAGTACAAGGCGTATTTATACTCAGAAATACATAGAAACAAGCGATAATCCGAACCTTCGGGAACGCGCTCTTCTAGGATAGATAATCACTAGTGCGCATAAGCACGCAAGCCCATTGGCACATTGGATTATGGCGAGATTACGCCTTGTACACCACTGTCGGTGCTGTCGGTGCCGAAAATACAAATAAGTGAAATAATCGGAAAGCTCTAGAAAATAGAATAGTAGTCCGATTGAGGTGAAATAAAGTGCAAATGAAAGAGGAAAATAAGAAGAATAAGTTAGAGTAAAAATATGGAAATGAGAAATATGTCGAACGTCGACGTACTCTTACACTTCCCCCCCTCAAAGCTGGGTGGTAGATGTAACACCCTGCTTGACAAGGTAGTCTCGGAGAGAACGTCGGGCGTTACTCATGTCGTGTTTAGAGACCCATCTGTCTTCGGAAGGATCATAGCCCTTCCAACGTATGAGAAACTCCAGGGCGCCATGCCGACGACGACGATGTGCAAGCACGGATTCGACCTCGTACTCAGGGTCATTATTGACGAGGACTGGAGGCGGCGGAGGAGGTTGGCGTCCTGTGTATAGCTTATTTGGATCCCGATAGGGTTTAAGAAGCTGCACGTGGAAGGCGTTATGAATCTTCCAAGTAGCTGGTAGGCGCAAGCGGAATGTGACTGGAGTGACCTGCTCTTCTACGAGGAAAGGTCCGCAGAAGCGAGGTCGCAACTTGGATGGAAGGTGACCGAGGTTGAGGTTGCATGTGTCAAGAAGCACATGGTCACCAACCGTAATGGTATGATCACGGCGATGGCGATCGGCCGAGTGTTTTTGTGAAGACTGTATGTCCTTCAAGCGCTTGTGTGTCCGATCCCAAAGCTGCTGCATTGTGGTAATGAAGTCATGCGCGGGCTGGACGCTTGCAGGTACTGTTGGCTGCTGTGGAGTTAGCGGATGTCGACCGTAACAGAGGAAGAACGGGGTTTCTCTTGTTGTGGCATGCTTCACATTGTTGTAGGCGAACTCCAACACCGGCAAGTGCAAGTCCCACTTGCTAACGTCGTCCTTGCACGCTGCGCGCAAGAGTTGTTCCACAATCTGGTTCAAGCGCTCTGTCTGCCCATCGGTCTGGGGATGATATGCAGATGACATCGCCAGGCGTGTCCCCATGAGCGACATGAGCTCTTTCCAAAACTTGCTAGTGAACTTGGGGTCCCTGTCGGATATGAGCGTTGTTGGGATCCCGTGCTGTGAGATGATGTGCTTGACGAACAGCTGTGCCGTTTCCTCCGTGCGTGCGGTTGTATGTGTCGGAATGAAGTGCCCCATCTTTGAGAATTTGTCGATGACGAATGACCCCCTCATGCCCCGTTTTGGTAGGTGGTAACCCAGTGATGAAGTCCAAACTCACCACTTGCCAAGGCTGTTCCGGGACGGGCAGAGGCTGAAGAAGTCCTGCTTTCTTCTGCTTACTGCTCTTCATCCGTTGGCACGTGTCACACGATGTGACAAACTTCTGCACGTCGTCTGCCATGTGAGGCCAGTTATAGACTTTCGCAATCCCCGCAAGGGTCTTGTTACTCCCGAAATGTCCAGCGTAGAGCACATCATGGAACTCCTCGAGAAGCAACTGCCGAAGAGGTGGGTAATTGGGTACCCATATCTTTGTTGATCCTTTGCGTAGTGCGATGTCGTGGTCCCACTGCAGCAATTTCTTCTTCTCTGCCAAGGGAATCTCGGGGTCGATAGTGTACCCGTGCGTAAAGAGTCCCTTAAGTAGCGGATTCATCCCCTCAACCTGTATGGCGGCAACGTGTCCAGGCCGGCTCAGTGCGTCTGCCTTATTCTTGTGTCCCGGCTTGTACACGATGTCGTAGTCGAAGTGTGTCTCGAGGAAGTCGATCCACCTGACCTGTCGCCTGGAGAGGGTCGGCTGCGTTTTTAGGTACTTCAGGCTGCAATGGTCAGTGTAGACCGTGGTCTTTCTTCCTTCGAGGTAGCATCGCCATGTCTTGAATGCGGTGATGATCGCTAAGGCCTCTTTGTCGTGAATCGGGTAGTTGAGTTCTGCCCCGTGCAATTTTTTGCTGAGGTAAGCGATTGGTTGCAGTCCTTTCCCTTGGTCTTGCATCAAGACTGCTCCAACTGCTTGGTCGCTAGCGTCAGCTTCGATGACGTAGTCTTTTTCTGGATCTGGCAGGATCAGGACAGGTGCGGACGTGAGTGCAGTCTTCAACTGCTCCATGGCTTGCTGGTGCACATCCTCCCACTTGAACGGTGTATTCTTCTTCAATAGATTGGTGAGAGGTGTTGCAATCTTCGCATACTGTGGCACGAACCGATTGTAGTAGTTCGCGAAGCCAAGGAATTGTTGAAGTTCTTTCACATTCTCCGGCGACTTCCACGTACGTACGGCTTCGATCTTCTTCGGGTCGACATGCACTCCTTGAGCGCTCACCATATGTCCAAGAAATTGAACTTGTTTCAAGGCAAACTCACTCTTTGATAGCTTGACATAGAACTTCTCTCGTCGAAGTATTTCGAAAATGCGTCGTAGGTGTTCAATATGCTGCTTCATGTCCCTCGAGTAGATCAAGATGTCGTCCAGGTACACCACCACGCATTCGTCAAGTAGAGGCCTAAGAATATGGTTCATTTCAGCCTGAAATGTAGCGGGTACGTTAGTGAGACCGAACGGCATGACGAGGTACTCGTAGGATCCGTATCGTGTCCGAAACGCCGTCTTATGGATGGAGTTATCCGCCATCCGGATCTGCCAATATCCCGATCTCAAATCGAGTTTTGAGAATACTGTGGCTCCACGAAGCTGGTCAAGTAGATCGTCGATCCGTGGAATCGGATACTTGTTCTTGATCGTCTGCTTGTTGAGGGCTCGGTAGTCGATGCACATGCGTAAGCTTCCGTCAGGTTTTGGCGTGAAGAGCATTGATGCACCGTATGGTGATGTTGATGGTCGAATGAGTCCCTTGTCCAGGAGGTACTCGATCTGCTTCTTCATGTCAGCCAATTCGGTAGGACTGAGTCGATATGGTGCTCGGAAGGTCGGTTTCGAACCAGGTTCTTCGACGATCTCGTGCTGGTGGGTTCGGTATGGCGGCAACTGGTCTGGAAGGTCGTCAGGAAGAACGTCTTTGAACTCCTCCAGAAGTTTCTCGATAGCACGTGGAAGCTCAGGTGCTTTCTTCTCTGCTTCATCCTCGTCTGTAACCAGTGCGACGAACCCTGCCATGGTTCTTTTCACGTCCTTCTCAAAGCGTGCGAGAGTCTCCTCCGGAATATCTCCCGTGTTGCTCCAACTCGGAAGTGGAACTCTTCTGTCTTGATTGTAGATGCTCGCCGTGCGGGTGACCCAGTTGATCTCGGGGTTGAACTTCTTCAGGAAGTCTCTCCCAAGAATCAAGTCTAGCCCTTTGATGTTGGTGACGGGTAGGGTCGGTTTCCAGCGAAGAGGACCCATCTGTAGGTGTAACGCTACTTCGCCGTAGACTTGTAATTTGCTGCCGTCAACCATCGTAGCTGTAAAGCTTGAAGGCGTGCACTCCTCATTAATGCGTTCGAGGGTTGCTTTGTCACATACTGAATGGGATGCTCCGCTGTCCACGAGTGCTTGGAGGCGTCGTCCATTGCAGATCACCTCGAGCAGAAGTGGTTGGCGTTGCTCGCTGTACCCGTTGATCGTCTCGTTGATTGGATCGTAGGGCACATCCCATAGCTCCGTGGTATCTTCTTGGGTGGCAGGTTGCCGGTCCTGCGTTTCCATATTGCCAGGATTTTTTGTTGTCGTCGACGGCGTGGTTCTCGAGCTCGTAGTAGAATTCCCTCGTAGGGTAGATGTTGCAAATGTTTCAGATGCATCTGTAGAGGAGGTTTGAGGTCGTCGCAGCTTCTTGTTGACCTCTAGCTCCCTCTTGAGCTGCTTCAGCGCCACCGACTTCTTCCGTGGGGACCGGTTGGTCGATGTGGGCTGGTTGTTCTGAGAGAGGACGATGTCGTCGTTGGAAGGTCGAGCTTCCACGCTCCGTTGTTGGTTCCCCATGCGCAGCTGCTGTAGTTGTCGTACCGGTACATTATTTTTCTTCTGGAGCCTCTCTCGTGGTTTCACCAAGGCCGTAGACCCAGGGGAGTTTTTCCCAAGTAAAGCATCCTTGTATGATATTTCTAAGGAGTGCTTACTTTTTACAGGGCCTTTTTGGAGTTGTCCGGGTCCAGCAGGGTCTTGTTTCGCGGAGATTTTATTTTTCTCGGCGTTTTTTCCTGGTAGAGTCCGTTCGTGGGTTGAAGAATTCACTCCACGATCCTCCAATTTTCGCATTGAATCTGCTCCACTACTGCGGTCCTGAAGTGCTGCACGTGTGGTTTTCATTTTGTTACAATCGATGAATCGATGTCCCGGCTTGCCGCAGAAAGAACACTTAGCTTTGTTCTTCTTTGGTCTTGCCTTCGCGTCGATTCGATCGAGTTCCATCGGGTCGGCGTACGTGGGGGTAGCCAAGCGTCCTCCATGTCGTCTAGCTCGTCCATGAAGTCGTCGTGTTCCGATCGTGATTACGTCGAAACGTTCTGCTGCCGAGACAACGTCGTTGTAGCTGCTCCAATTTGCGGCCGCAACGTGTTGTCGTATTTCATTTTTCAGCCCCGCGATGAATGCCCTCATTTTTTCGCCTTCGGTGACGTCGGGGATGCGGTTGAACAACTCCTCCATTTGTTGCGTGTAGTTCGCGACGCTCCCGATTTGTCGATGACGATGTATTTTGTCGCGGGCGATAAACGCTGCATTTATCTGCTCGAAACGTTGTAGTAATCCTTCTCGGAACTGCTGCCACGTCGCTTCGCCTTGGTTTAATAATCCGCTTCCGCTTATCCAATCAATTACTGGTCCGCGCAGTAGTGTTGCTGCAAATTTAATTCGCGAACCGTCGTATGTCGGGGATGTCCAACCGACGGCTACGAAATATATTTCGATTTCCGCCAACCACCTCCGCACGTCAAATTCCCCGTCGAAGGTGTTGGGGGCTCGAATTTTTTGGGCCTTGGGAAATTTTCGCGACTGCTGCGAAGTCACGATCGATTTTGTTTCTGTCGCAATTTTCGCCATGACGCGCGAATTTATCCGAAGTCGTTAGATCCGTCGCGCGTCGGTCTTGCTGCTTCTGCGCCGCTCGATATAGGTCCCGACAATTCGCGATTGTCGTCGCTATATCGCCAACTCGTCGCCAGAAAACCCAACTTTCGGACCTGTTCAAAAAACGCGCGAGGGGGGTCATTCAAAAAACGCGGAATCTGGTGCTTACCAGCGTCGGCGCCGAATTCTTCGCCCCCGGCAGTTTTTCGAAGCAGGGAGTTTTTCTTAGCTGAAACTCCGCGAGTGAAAACGGCTCTGATACCAAGTGTCACAGGATCGAATTTCCACTCGAGAATGTTGCACTATAGGTGAGTACAAGGCGTATTTATACTCAGAAATACATAGAAACAAGCGATAATCCGAACCTTCGGGAACGCGCTCTTCTAGGATAGATAATCACTAGTGCGCATAAGCACGCAAGCCCATTGGCACATTGGATTATGGCGAGATTACGCCTTGTACACCACTGTCGGTGCTGTCGGTGCCGAAAATACAAATAAGTGAAATAATCGGAAAGCTCTAGAAAATAGAATAGTAGTCCGATTGAGGTGAAATAAAGTGCAAATGAAAGAGGAAAATAAGAAGAATAAGATAGAGTAAAAATATGGAAATGAGAAATATGTCGAACGTCGACGTACTCTTACAGAGGAGAGGCGGAAGGAGAAGGGTGGGCCGGGATTCTTCAAGTGGTTCCCGAAGAACCACTGCAAGTAGTGGACCTCCTGAAGGAGCGGGAGGGTTCAGTACAACTGACAGGCCATGGAGTTTTAGAGACTCAACCGCCATCGAAAAGGCCACGCATTGACCAGGCGGGAACGAACTTCGACGCGGATGAGGGGTCTTTGGGGACAGCTGCGTCAGAGGAATGTGTCGGTGCAAATGTGTCGGGAAATCAGAACGTTCAACCAACTCTGGGGGAGGCGACGGGAGAGGTGGCACCACGAAGAACGGATGCGCTACCAGACGAGCTAGGGAAGCGGTGGGGGGAAACAAGGCATTTCAGATCGAATGGTCTTACCACACGCGAAAAGAAGAACAAGAAGGGGGAAGTGGTGTCCGTGCGCTTCAACTCGGAGCAAACCATCGGAGGTGTGAAGAGGAACATGGGGAGCTACAAGGAGAGGAAGCTGCGCGATTTCACAGTGGCCGTCTGTTGGATGATCTACTTCCCCGACACCGACATGGCACATTATGGCTTGGATCCTGCCGAGCTTGGCTTGTGGGCGGTCCACCTCGATTTCGCTCGTGACCTCCCGACGGGTGTCTGGAGTGTCATGAACGAATTGAACCTCGACAAGTTCGAGAAGTGAGTATTCGATTCGACTTAGCAAGTTTTAGTACATTTTCCCGTTTTCCCACACTAACCGTGTACCCACCTCTCCTGTGCAGCTTCGAGAACATCATGAACAAGACACATGCACGGGTGAAGGACGGCGCGCATTTCCAGGTGGCCGTTTGCACAGGGATTGGACAGGCCCTGGTACACGGAGGGAGTGGGCTGGTGTCGCCCCCCGCGAATGTCACTCCCGCGGTCTATGCAGCGGGAGTAGCTGCAACCCTCTACACCTTGTGGTGTGCCTCGATCGGCATTCCCCACCCAGACTGGGCGGAGGGTGCGGATGAGGCGGCTCGTGGCACGCTCAACGAGGCAAGCCTTGCTAGTCGAGCAACCTCTACTGCTCGGCTTGGAGTGTGGACTTTAAAAGCCGTGAAGAACCTAACGCACGAGAAGGCGGATTGGGAAGTGGTGCTCACCAAGGCCATTCTCGGCCTTGTGGATCCCGAGCCCGGGGAGGCAGAGGCTATCGAAATGGCCAAGGTTGTTTCGAGGGTGCTGGTGTACTGGTGCGAGTGCTGTCACGCAAACCAGAATCTCTACGCGTATCAGGGTGGGATGCTCCATTTTTCCCCGCCCACAAAAGGGGGACGGCGGAAGGGGAATGCGGGAGGCAACGAGTGATGCAGTAGGGGGAGGGTAGTTTCGACTTTGCTGCAGCTCTGTACTATAGTCTGTCGCATGTTGTAGTTTTCGAGTCTTCCATTTCCAGCTTGTAAATACAGTTCGGTTACTTCGGACTATAGAGCTCTGTACTGTTTTGGCCCCTTGATAGAGCCCTATACAATATTGTCTCTGATACTTTGTTTCCGATACATAGTTTGTCAACGTCTCAAATTGTTCTCAAATCCAATTGTTTCGCTCGAACACAATCCTCCGCAGACCATGGGGAATAACAGTCCGACATGCCAGTACTCTAAACACTGTCTAGGTTTCCGAAGTGGCTTAGAAGGTGCTGGTGTACTGGTGCAGGTGCTCTCTGCCGGCGCAGTCTACGCATATCAGAAATGCTGCATCTTGTCCAGCCTTAATGGGGTGGACGGAGACGGCGAATGCGGGTATAAAATTCCGAGGGTGCCAGCTTTATCTGTTGCATGCATTGCTCGAAAGCTTGGCGTGAAAATGGACTTTAATTCTCGAGGGTTAGAGGTCTGTACCACGGTGTTTTCTTGATTGCTTGTGTGATTGTTTTCCAGTAACTAACCTACTCAGGATGTCGCTCGTGAACATTAGGCGTGACGCGAGTGCAACCCTAAGTCTTCTCTTGCTTCGGATATATCTGTGGCATGCTTTGATGATCGACACATTCCCATGTTTTCGAGATATTCCCATTCTTAACATAGACGTTCCAATAACTTTAGTGTTACTCTAAAGGAGGATTTAGAATCTAGAACAGAAGAAAGGAAAGGTGGAGGGAAGTGCTCTCTGGCGGTGCAGTGATTTCTTTCTCGCTTGGCATCATAGTCTGTAGCTATCCCTGATTTTCGAGAGATTCCCAGGTTACACTGACTAGTGTGGCAGGTAACAATATACTCCAAAGTGAGTAAGCACTTTCGAGATTTGTTCGCGTATTTTGTCTAAGCCGTCGCAGCACTGTTATCGACAAGCCGGTTTGGAACACGATCCTATTGGTATGATAGGCGAAGGTTACGATGTACGGAGGGTGTAAAATTTCTAATGGAACTACAGACGTCCCTATGACTATGACGTGACTCTAAAAGTTGATGTAGACCAGAGAAAATTAAAAAGAAGGAAAAGAGGTATCAACGTCACGAGAAGAGCAGAAATGAGGTCTAAGAACGGATGCTGGCAATGATAGATACGTGGAGTCGTAGGAAAACAGAGCGGAACCGATCACGTAAGGAAGTCTCAGTAGCGTGATCTACTTCTTCAGTTTAGCCAGCTTCTTTGGCTCGTCAATCTTGATCTGCTTCCAAACATCTTCCCCAAACATCTTCTCTCCCCACGCGTCACCTTCCATCTGGGCGGCGAAGAAGAGGTACCCGACCTTGCGGCGCTTGTTCTCCGTCGTCTTATCCTTGCCGGGATTATCCCTCTTCGGAGGTGGCTCGTTTCCGAGAATCACGCCATCCGCCAGAGCGCTGATCGAACTCCGATCCACCACGTCCTTTTGGATCTTCGCAATGGCATCTCGGGTGGCCTCCTCCGATTCATTAGCCTTGTACTTCTCGACGGTGAGCATCACGTTCCTCATCCGCTTCATTTTTTTGTCGCCAGTATCGTCCTTCACACCCTTCTCAATGTACGAGAAAGTGGGGTAGAAACTTTTTTCGGACGACAGCTGGCGGAGAGTCTTTCCGTCCATCAAAAATGTCACCTTCACCCAGTGTTCCCATGCCTCTGCGACCGTCTCCGAGTCCCGCCAGGGTTTAACGACAAGGTCGAAAAATGCCCGCACTGGAGTGGTGACTTGTGCCTTCTGGGGCTTCGGAGCCTCCCCACCAGCTTCCTCCATTGTCGACGAGCCCGTCCCTCAATCAGCAGCCTGTGCGTTCGCGCTGCTCCCTGCACGCGCCTTCAGAGCAGCCAGCTCCGCTTTGAGCTGCTCGTTTTCAGCGGCCGTCTTCTTCTCCCTCTCTTCGGTTTCAGCGAGCCTGTTCTTCAGCTCGCCGATCTCGTGATCCTTCTGACCACATTCCGTCCGGTACAGGTTGTTCTCTACCAGGAGCTGCTGGTACTTTCGGGATGAGTTCAGCTTGTAGATCGCATCCTGCGGGAAAACGGACGAGGGTTTTCAGGCAATGTCAGGTCTGTCGAAATGGAAGGGCCGATCAGAGAACTGTTGTACTTACAGCGGCTGCAGAGCTGCCTCTGGCTTCACGAAGTTCAATGCCAGCCTTGTGCATGATTGCCACTTTGATGGCCCATTTCTGAAACAGAGGGTGGCGGCAGAGCAGATTCATGTCCGTGTACGGGTGGCGCGGGCACTGGCATGGCCGTCTTGTACCGTCGAACAGATGGTCGTGATCGGGACAGTAGAACCACCACATGGCAAGGTCCTGTGCCACGATGTCTCGCCCAGGGTTTGCAAGAGCTTCCAAAAAACTTCTGCCATAGTGGTGCGGCTTATCCGGATTGTCACGGTTGTACTTATCGACCTGAGATGATAGAACAGAGAAGACATTCAGCTTTGCCAAGTGCAACAACATTAGACACTGCAAAAGGGTGGGTAATGAAGGGATACCTTTGCCAAATCAGATTCGAGGCGCGGGAAGATGAACAGCTTGAAGAGGTCTTGCAACTGTTCCCACTCGGTTGGATTGTCAAGTTTAGCGTGCGCTCTGCCAACGTAGTAATCTCCCGGCTCCCCACTGAATCCGGCCATCATCAAGACCGGCCAAAACGGAACTCCCACGACGTAGGATTTTCGCATCTCGCCCTGCTCCCAGCCGCCGAGAGCGTTGATGTCGGGGTCGGGACAGCGATCGTCACTCAGGCCTTGGGCTCCCGATCGGCGAAACGCATGGGTCTTTTTGCTAATCCGCCAGGGCGGTTGAGCTACTTCGTTCATGACCCAATTAATCCAGTTGTTGTGAGTCACGTACGGAAGCTCTTCCTGCAGTTGTTCCCTTCCGTGCCTCAATGGGAAAAAAATGTGCTTCTTTGACCACTGGAGGGGGTCGCTGAAGTCCAGTGGCGGAATGATGTCCGCTCCGAATCGCAGTGGCACGAGGTCGTAGACGAAATGAATCCACAGAAAAAGACCACCAACACCGCAGAGCGCGAAGTTGATGTGCCGGGCCAAGAATTGGTGGGTCAGCCTGTTGGTCGCATTCGTCTTGGACTTTCGAGAGGCGAAAACCACCACAGGGAGATCCTTCTGGCGGTCGGGGACGGCCGTGCTGCTACGCGTGTGGCGGACAAACATGTTGGCGAATCGAAGAGCACGAATGCTGCATCCCCTTCCCAACATTTGGTGTGCGAGTTGAATCATCACCTGCACCGCAAAACACCGCCAGAGACTTTCTGATAATGCAATCCTGGTTCTCTGGTAGCACAATTTGATTTCCCTCAAAAAGTGCTTTTCGTGCAGGTCCGCGTACTGCTCCGACGTGTAGCAATCGTCCAGAGAGTTTCGGTGCTGATCCTTGCCCTCCCTGCATACACCCACATGGAACGTGCTTAGGCATCAAATTTTCGAGAATCTGTTTGGCCATGAAGTGTGTAAATACTCACGCAACCTGCTTGTCGTGCAGCTGTTTCAGCTTGAGCTTCATGTACTCCCGCGCTTCGCCGATGTACTCATTTGCTTGGGCCTTCGGGTAGTCGTAGAGTCGAGCTTCAAGTCTGCCCAGGAAGCCCAAATCGCTCATCTTTGCCTTCATCATGCTCGGCGTACTAGGGATGGGCTCCTTTCCAGCCACCACTTCTTCGCCTCTCCGCATCATCTCGGCCTGCGCGGGGGTTTCCTCTGCCATGTACCGCAGGAACCTCTGAATCCTCCATCCAGTAACACGGGGCCCGTGGAGATAAACTTCATCCAAATCCACAGTTGACCACTCCGCCTTTTTGTCGTCCCCCAGATGGATTCCAACCTCGTCAGGCGCCAGCGGGTTCAGACGCTCCTCCGCCGGGACCTCAGTCTTGGGCAACGTTGACATGAACATGATGACCCACCACTTGTAGTGCAGCCAATACAGGATGTAGTCTTTTCTGGTTTTCGCCGCGAGATAATCGAAAGGGGTTTTTGCGCGGCGAATCCTGCTGGCCACGTCGGCCTGTTTTCGAACTGACTCGTGCGTAGCTGATGCTGGCCCATCTGCATTTCTCTGAGGCGCGGCCTGCGATGCTTGCCCCTCCGCATTTCCCTGTGGCGCAGCCTCTGGTTCTTGTCCCTCAGCATTTCCCGCGGGCGCAGCCGACGATCCGACACCATGTGCACTTCCATGTGGCGATGCCTGTGATTCTGGGCCGTTCACATTGCCACGGGGCGGTTCCCCAAAAAGACTTCGCCGGGTGGCATTATCTTCAGAGGTTGGGCTTCGGCTAGCATTTTCCTCCCAATTCTCCTCAAACAACGCTCGGTGGGGGTCGTCGTCATCTTCCGCGAGATCAATAAACACCCCCCTCGGAATTCCGCCCCTCGGAATTCCGCCCTCAGCCACATTTCTCTCGACCCCGACTTCAGGGTTCGAGGCCGGAAATTCCTCCTGAGCATCCAGGAACACATCGCCCCCAACAGCTGCCTCGAATTCCGTGTCCGCATCGCGGTCCCCGGTTAGATCAATCGGGGCATTGGGCAGTTGGCAGTCTGGAAGATCATGATACTCCTCATTGAGGTCGAAAGCTGCGCTAAGAAAATTACCCGTACCGCCTTCGCCCGCCATCACGGTGTACCTGTTTCAGAGGGCTATATGCTTCACAGGTGCGCGAAACCTGTCCTGAAACGCTTATTTTCGACATGCGAAATCTAAAACGCCTCGTCGGGAATTGGATGGACTGCCAGCAAGCCCAAGAGAATGTTGTGTTGAAAAGAGAATCGTGATCGGAGTTGTTACAGGGAAAATAAACTATGAATGTGACCCTTCTGAGTGGAGAACAATGATGATATGAAACGGATGTTCCATTCAGAGTTCTTTAGCATCTCTAAAATGTTCTCATTTTCCAGAGTACAAGAAATCCTACGCGGGCTCAACCCTTGGCGTGTGTGCAACTCTGAACGGAGCAATGTATCATGCCATGTTGGATTGAAGGTATGGAAGCAAGCAGGCTGATGTTTTCCCCTAAGATGTGTTAAATTTTGACGAAGGAATCAAGAAATGACACACAACAGAGAGCTATTTAAGCATTCTGGGACTCAGCCACATGAACATGAGCACCACAACCTCTGACTGCATCCCTTCTTCCCGCCACAGCTTCTCTAGATCTGGTCGCCAGACCCCAGATCTGGGGTTCTTCCCGCCTCTGACAGAGCACCCGATTGGCTGGCTCCTCCACAATGGCGTAACTCTGAGCCATACCCCTCCCGCAGAGAACGAGTAACTCTGCCACGTGGACCACGGTCGGCGCGCAAACGGAAACATGTTAATACACATTATTTTCAATATAGTACAACATCAAGGGTTGTGCCCAGTTACGCGATTTCACAAAACAAAGCTTAAAGTGGATATGCTTCTTTCAGGAAACAGTTAAAAGTACCATGTCGCGATCGAAAAATCCGAGAAAAATCCGTCTTCTTGTGGTACCAAAAGTTAATTGCGTTTCCGAATTCTGGTCTCGTTTGTACTTGAACCAAGAATTATATAAGCAATTCGACTAGTAGCGTGTTTAAGGGTGTATAACGCACAATCGTTTATCATTATTACACCAGAACAACTGTTGTTCGTGTTGATGTGTTAACGTAAACTGCTACTGGGTTGCCCAACTGCATTATAGGACTACTTTGTCCTCATCGAAAAAAAAACAACCTATGAGTCTGTCTTTTAGCGACTGGCCGAGGTACATACGGCGTTTCAGATGACTGAACTAGGTGGACAATCGCGCAAACAACAAGCGTTCAAACTTGCGGAAGACGATGTAATCTAGTAAAACGTGTGCAGAAAAACAAATTCCACTGTAAACGAATGTCTAACACGGACCTCATTATCGAGTTTCTCAATAATGGGGTTTTCACCAACTGGCTGCGTCGTGTTCGCGCATATCACGTCGCAACCGTTTGCGCGAAATGTCGACGTCAACTGACGGCGACACATTGACGTTGGCGAGAGAACGTGCTTCGCCAGCTACATTGCACGAACGGATCTGCTCGGGCAGAGCACAGTTTCACGGGCAGGCAGAGCCTAGCCTTTGGGACGGTGGCGGTTGTCCTACTCGGTGCAAGCTTGCGCCGCTTCCGCTTGGGTCGAGTCCCAGCTCGACCCAAGCAGCTGGACCCACGTTTTTTCCCTGGCAAATCCGCTCGACCAGCGCCAAGAGCAAATAACTTCCCAGCATTTCAGCTCGGGCCATTTTCAGGTGCGATCCACACTTGCCAGGAAATCTACTCATGTGCGATCCATGTTATTTTGCAGGTATGAACATTCGATTCAGTTTTAAATCTTACTGTTTACAATCACGATTTATCCGAGATCCGATTCAAAATTACACAAACAGTCGGAATCAGAAGCGATTTCGAATCACGCCAAGAAAAATTCGAATGGTCACATCATTTTGGCACAATTTCGACGACTAATTCTGCTTCGCACTAAGAAATTTTGTAAAAGATTTCTTATGCCGGATCAACTGTACTGTTGACACAGGTGACGGATACTGCGCAGGCCATTTCAGCATTCCCTTCTTGGGTGTCCACCCCAAAATTCGAGATACTGTCTGGGTGATAATGAAGTTTACCCTCATTTTAAATAACCAGCTGGAGATTTTTTCGCAATAGACGACGCTGTATTATTACCCAGGCAATAAATTGTTTAGGGCTGATCACTCCCGAAAACATTTTCAGGTTCTTTAGGGGTTGAATATATATAAATATAATATAATTTATGGCAGCGTCGTCTACTGCGAAAAAAAAATCCAGCTGGTTATTTTTAAAATGAGGGTAAACTTCATTATCACCCAGACGATTTCTCGAATTTTGGGGTGCACGCCCAAGAAGGGAATGCTGAAATGGCCTGCGCAGTATCCGTCACCTGTGTCAACAGTACAGTTGATCCGGCATAAGAAATCTGTTACAAAATTTCTTAGTACGAAGCGGAATCAGTCGTCGAAATTGTGCTGAAATTATGTGACCATTCGAATTTTTCTTGGCGTGATTCGAAATCACTTCTAATTCCGACTGTTTGTGTAATTTTGAATCGGATCTCGGATAAATCGTAATTTTAAACAGCAAGATTTAAAATTGAATCGGATGTTCGTACCTGCAAAATAACATGGATCGCACATGAGTAGATTTCCTGGCAAGTGTGGATCGCACCTGAAAATGGCCCTTTTAGCTCATTTGCAATTGCAACACTCCTCCCCAACAGAATCTTTTGGCACGTGCACTCAATTCTCTCACTCACATCGACACATGTAGGTTGGTAGCGGGGATGTGTGGGGGGGGAACGAAGTCTGATGGCGATCTGCCGACCCTGAACGATCAGACAACGCAAAATCTGGTGACTGGGCAATCAGACAGCCAATTTTCTAGCCGAAGTGCCTTCAGACTAAAACGGGATTTTTTTTTTTTTACGGATCAGGGAGCCTAGATTGAAACGTCAGCCCTGGTTCTAGTGAACTGATTGAACCACCTTGTGCTAGCGTGTGAGGACAAGATAAGTTGATTATAGCAAGGAAATGCAAAGCTTTTTTTATGATTACAAGGAATAAGAAAGGTCTTAACTAACTGCTGTTACAACTGCTGTTGCGATTCGATACAGCGACGACTCGGGCAACTGCTCAATATCGAGTCAGTTGTGTGTCCTTGCTGTCGCGCTGCGTTTCAGTGAGTCAAAGGTCGCTGACCTTTGACCTTCGTCCAACCTCTTGCTGTTGCTTTTCTTGTCAACCGCTTCACTGTAGTTTCGTTTGACTCGCTGTTGCTTCGCTGTAGTTCGCTTCGTTTACGCTGTGGTGCTTGACACATCAGAAGCGCGAACTATATGTTTCCAACATACACAAGGTGAGAACCTGTGTCAACAAGGCCTAACTGCACACAACACCTCTGGTGGTCACAAGGCGGAAGCGCCTTGGTGAAGATGTCTGCAGTGTCAGCCTTGGACTCCACAAACTTGAGGCGAGCCTGTCCACATCTCTGCAACTCTCGCAGAAGAAAGTACCTGACATTAACGTGCTTCACTCTGCTCTCCAGTCGCGGCTCTCGACAGAGGAGAATCGACGCCTTGTTGTCAGTGAACAAGGTCGGTGTGGAGCTCGGCCGCTCACCAAGGTCAGTGA